ATTTTCTCACTAGAATTAGTGTAAGGATCCTTAAATATGTTAAATCCTGTATAAATGTTTTAAAATCCCAAGTGGTTTTCAAATCTCTCCTAAGTTTAAGGAAGTTGATCACCACCACACACGGTGATACAAAAACAGGACCAGGCTTGGCAGTCCACCAGCAGCTCTAGGTCTTCTAGAAAGGAGAGTGAACCAGAGAAAGGAGGTTTTCAGACTCACTATGAAGCACAATAGAAAACAAATATTCAAATGCAAGGGAGATCATTCTTATAACCTAGAAATTTCCATTCTTTTTGGAATTGTGATGTATGTCATATCATGGTTTTAGGAAAGAAAAAGATAATTAAAGTACATTAGATATAAATTTTTTAGAATATTTTAACAACACTTGAGAAATTAAACATACACTCTTAAGCAAAGCCCTCCACAATGGGTTTAACAGCAGAGTTTAAGTCAAAAGACGGGTGAGGCAGCTGGTACCAGCGTGGTAGGGAAGAAGAAGGAGAAGAGCAGGCGTGTCTGGTACCAGTGTGATGGGGAAGAAGAAGGAGAGGAGCAGGCGTGTTTAGATATCATTTAGAAGTCCAATACAGTGGGAGGTCTTGCTAATAACTGGATTCAGGAACAAGGAAAGGGTAGGGAGATTTCTCCATTGTAAGTGTGAGTGACTGGCTGGTCTTAGGGCCATCTACTGAGATGGAGACGACAGAGGGTGGAACAGGTTTGGAGGCTGAAGGGCAGTGGGAAAACGAGTTCTCTCTGGGTGACTTGCAGTTTGAGATGCCTAGTGACTGCTGTTCAATTCTGTATCTCATGTATCAAGTCAAAGAATGGAGTCTGGAACCAGAGGGTGATGGCAGGTGGGAGATATAAATTTGGTAGTCATCAGCATCTAGGTGGATTTAAAGCCAATTTAGAGATCATCTAGAAAAAGATGCATGCCTGGGGCCCTCCAATATTTAAGGATGAGGTGGAAACAGGCAGAGCCAGCAAAGAAAAATGGAAAGCAGAGGTCAGAAAGGTAAGAGAAAACCAGGAGAGTGTGGTGTCCTGGAAAGCAAGAGAAAATAACATCTCGACTCCACTGAATGCTACCAAGACAGCAAGTGCAGTAAAGGGACCCACGAGTTTAGCCATGTGAGGTCACTGGGAACGTGACCACTTCAGTAGAGTGGCAAGGAAAGAAGCCACACTGAAGTGGGCTAACGAGTTAAAGGAAATTAAAATAAATAAGCTACATTTTAAACAATGGGAAGATGAGGAAGTTAAAACCACAAGAATAGACAACCTCTCAGGAAGTTTTACCAACCCACACAAGCAGATAACTATAATAAAGCCTTACCAGTGCAACCACAGAAGTCTGTTCAGTGCACAGTAGGGGCAAGCGGCGGGTGGGAGGACAGAGGTCAGAAAAAGCTTCTCAGAGAAGAAGTAACCAAATCTAAGAATCCAGGTGAGACCATTCCTATGGTGGACGTGTCCCTATAATGAAACAAATTCCACCACACATGCAGGACCGCCTGTCTGCTCTTAAGTGAAGAAAATCTCGTTAAATGAAGAATCAGTACTAAAACTTGCATGACATCAATAATATCTGCAAGAAACTGTTTTCTAGAAGAAAAACATTCCCAAGTTTCTCAGCTGTGAAAGCAGCAGAATACTGGATCTGACGTCTGTAATTTGGTTATGTCCTATGGACAGAAAGAGAGGCATGATCTTGCCACAGTTCTGACTAGGGTTTATAGGGCACGTCGGGATGGGGGCAAGGGGTTTTCTGCTCATTGTGGTGGAAGGGGCGTGAAGAGACGGTAACTAAGCAACAGACAGAGATGAGTTAAATGTCATTCTTCCCAGAAATGAAAAAAAGATAAAACTCTTCAGAGGCTGCTTTCCATGATTCCCTTAAATGAAGATACAGGTTCACAATCTCTTCCTCAAAATCCTCGCGGCCAGATAAGTTTTGAAATTTGGAGTTTTTGAAATTTTAGAAAAGTAACACGAGGCAGATACCATCAATTATATAACAGCCCAGCAGGGGCTGGGCAACTCCCCTAAATAAAACACATGGATACTTCTGGGGCTGCAGTGACAGGACGATGACAGACAACAGCCTCACATCAGCGCAGGGCCTGCCATTAAATTAGTTACACAAAAACTTTCCATTTTCAGAGCCCTTAGATTTCACAACTATGGATAAGGGACTGTGGACTTACATGGAACACAAGTTTTAAGAAAGTAAAGATAAGCTGAAGGAGAACGATAGAGCCCGGGGTTCAAATTCTAGCTCTCCTCCATACGAACTGCATGAAGGCAGACAAGGTATTTAACACTTGTAAGCCTTAGTTTTCTGACCTGTAAAATGGGAGCAATGATATCTATCCCTAAGTCTGCTGCGAAAACCATACCAGGCAATTAGGTTGCGAGGTGCCTGGTGCCATGTCCGGCACACGGCAGTAGGATGACCAGCCATCCCAGTTTGCCGATGACTTTCCCAGTCTTAGCCCTGACAGTTCCACAGCCTGGGAAACCAGGATGGCCGGTCACCCTACTTGGCAGGCACTCAATAAATAGGAACTATTTTAATATTAAGAATAGATATTAACAAAAGTAAAAATGCAAAATGGAAAGATCACATGAAATAGTTTCAATGGTGAAACGTCCATGCCACTGGGAATTATAATCACCTCTTTTGTGGTAGGCAGAATTCTAAAATAGCACCCCTGGTGTGCACATCCTGGATAATCCCCTCCCCTGGAGGATGAGTGGGCCTGATCTAGTCAGGTAAGCCCTTTCTCAGAGATGGAAAGTCAGAGAAATTCGAAGTTACAGCAGATGCTCTCCTGCTGGCCTTGAAGAGGCAAACGGCCCTGTTGTGGAGAGGGCCACGTGGCAGGGAATGGGGGCCTGCCGCTGGGAGCTGAGGGCCTCGGTCCTACACCTGCAAGGAACTGATTTCTGCCAACAATCTGAACAAGCCTGGAGGAGGACCCTGAGCCTCAGATGAGATCACGGTCCCTGCTGACACCAGATTTCCCAGCCTTGTGAGGCGCCAAGCAGAGGACCAGCTACACCAGGCCAGGACTTCAGACCTACAGAACTGTGAGATACCAAGTGGGTATTGTAAGCCACTAGGTTTGCGTTAATTTGTCACAAAGAATTAGAAAAATACATCTTTTAAGAGGTTATCCACTTCAAAATTAGAGATATATACATGCATATGTATATATGTGTGTGTGTATAGTAACTATAAAGTATTTGTAAAACATAATTCCTTGCATAAACTACTTTTTTTAATATGAAAAATTCAAATTCGAAAGAAGCTTCTAACACAACTGAAACTTTCATACATTGATGGTGAGGGTATAAAAATGGTAAAATCACTTTACAAAACTGGCAATTTCTACTAAACCTAATGTACGCCTACTCTACAACTCAGAAACTCCATTCTGAGTGCAGAGACCCACAAAAAGACACACACAAGAATGTTCACGGGGCCGGCCCCGTGGCTTAGCGGTTAAGTGTGTGAGCTCCGCCGCTGGCGGCCCGGGTTCGGATCCCGGGTGTGCACCGACGCACCGCTTCTCTGGCCACGCTGAGGCTGCGTCCCACGTACGGCAGCTAGAAGGATGTGCAGCTATGACATACAACTATCTACTGGGGCTTTGGGGGGGAAAAATAAATAAATAAAATTAAAAAAAAAAAAAGAATGTTCACGGCAGGTTTAGCCAAAACCTGGAAGCAATCCAAATGCCCATCAACAGGAGAATGGAAAAACTGTGGTTTCTTCCTTCGATGGAAAACTAACATCAATTAAAAAGAACTAATAGCAGACACAACATGGACGAATCTCACAGATATCACGTTGAGCAAAAGAAGCCAGACACAAAGAGGATATAATGAATGACTCCACTGACATGAAGTTCAAGCACAGGCACAACATGTCTGTGGGGACAGAAGTCAGAGTCTGGGTCACCTCTCAGCAGGGTGCAGAGCCTGGGAAGGGGCCGCAGGTACCTGTGACGGGCAGTGGAAACGTCCTACATCTATATCTGGTTGGAAGTTACCCAGGTGACCGTGCAGGTAAATAATCGTTGAGACATACGCTGAAGATTAATGACTTTACTGTATGCCACACTTCAGAAATAGTCTTCCTCCTTTACAGCAACTAATCAATAACCATCTAATGATATTTTAAGATGGATTCCTCATAAGAAAACACACAAATAAGCCAGTGAACAGTGCAGCACGAATAGTGTTACCATGCTATGCAAGTACATCTCTTCTTTAAGCACAGCACCTAACACTTAAGCATTCTCAATAAATGTTGGTTGAACCAATGTCACAGATAACGACACTGTTCATGTTTTAGAAGCCCAGAGAAATTTATATGTGCATAATATCCTCAATATAATATACCCAATAGATGTGAAAAACTATGACTCTTATCCAATTAATTACTTCTTTCATTGCTGACCAATTAATTCCTTTGTTCACTTCCAAGTACAGGAAATATAAGCTAGGTGTTTAACCTTCACCAAAGCAATGCCGATGGTAACTGTGTAGCGTGAAGACAGCACCGCCTTCACTGTTTACACTGCTTGTCTGACACTGGGGCAGGGACTCTTTGCCATGGATACAGGGTGACCATAAAGGCTCAGAGCATGACGAATTGGTTAGGACTATCTAATCCAACCTCCCACCCTGGTCAGAAAACCATCCCAGTGTCCCTGCCAGTGGGCAGCCCACTGCTGGGAAAGGAGAGTGAGGGATGTCAGAGAGAGCTGACACTCAGAGAGGGACAATGGCCGCCGGGAACCGTGTCCCCCTGAACACTCTCCCACCGGAACGCAGCAGACAGAATTCATGGTCAGAAAAGTCTCACTCGGCAGTCAGTCTGAGAAACAGAAGCAAAGTAAGTTTTGAGTCCACGGGAGGTGGAGGAGACTCAAATATACCAGGAGCAGGGATCAGACAAAAAGTGAAACAAAACCGCAGCTCACCTCGCTGTTGTGGCCCCGCAGGTTGAAGTTGATTCTCTGGGGGGTGCTCCTGTCCCGGCGGCAGTGGCTCGAGGTGAAAGTCACCCCGACGACGCCCCGGCCATTGCCAGTGGCCAGCCAGCCCTCCTCGTAGTAGCGCCTCCTGCACACCGGCTTCTCCTTCTCACTCTTGGGGACGCGCCCCTTCCAGGACAGGCAGAGGATGTTGGAGTCGCTGCAAAGCACAGGCCCATGCTCCACCGCTGCATACATACTTTTTCTGGATGAACTGCTTGACTTAAAAAGTAATCCTGAATGCCGGAAAATTTAAACCAATTCCTTTCATGGACTGATTTATTTTATTTCTGTGGCTGGCTTGCGTTGTTTCCCTCAACCCCCTTTAACAAAGACTGACCTGCACCTACCTAATCAGACGCTCAGTATTTTATAAAGATTCACCAAATGCATAGTGAAAAAATTTCTCTATAAAAGATGATGGCAGTCTGCTAAGAAAAGGTAATGCTTAAAGAAAACGTGGGGTCCATTTTTATTTTCAAGGGGCTTAGAGGAAGAGTGGGCTGACCCTTTGGAGAAAGAGCATTGTTAATACGTGGTATCAAGAAACTGAGTTTTCTTCTTTTTACTCAACTTGGTTATTCTCATTCAGCCTGAGATTCCAGTTTAGTGTAATATGATTCTAGAGACAAAGGGTTGCAAATACATAGATTTCAAGTAACTTAAGGCTTTAAGAATCCCTCGAGCTGGAATTTTCTCTTCAAAAGTTCAGACGCAGAGACAGAACACACGGGATCATCTTCCTTCTGAGGCCACCCTCTGGCATGTTTTCTCAACTAGACAAATTTCTGCTGCTAAAGCTGAAAAAGATTGCATAAAGGGAAAAAAAGGCACACAAACTGTGCAAAACAGACCAGAGTTTGTGCAGACAGCAGTCCAAGTTTAGGAAGAAAAAAAGACTCTTTCTTCACTGTTCAGAGCCAGAAACTTCCCCCCTCAGAGCTCGGTCCGGTTTCCCGGCAGGCCACTATGTCCCCAGGGAGAGCTGGGCACCATCTGACGGCCCCTCCACAGGCCCATGCACCCCTCAGTGCCATAGAGGCATAGAGAGAAAGCCCCTCCAATGGGCAGAGTCAGAATGTTCTAAAGCTCTTAAAGTGGCCCACGCGTTGTTGCCTTGGGTGAATCCTAAATCCTCCTGCTGACAAAACGGCGCCTGCCTGCAGGATCTCGTCTCCTTTGTCCCTGTCTCCTTCCTCCCTCCCCTAGTCACTTCACCCCTTTCTGCTCCTAAACATCACATATTTTTCTATCTTGAAGAAAAAAACTAATCTCAGAATTAAGTCCATTAAGTAATCCTCCTCTTACATGCAATGCAGGTCTTCTTGGACTCAACAAGGAAGAGAATCCCTTGAAATGAAAACACAGGTGAGAATCAGGGTCCTCCCCACTGTTTCCCTTCAGAGACTGTCTCCCAACACCACACGGAGAGCCCAAGGAAAAGAAGCTTTGCTTGGATGTTCCTCAATATTCACCTTGTAATTAGCGGTTTCAATCACTACCTTAGGATGTTATCCTACAGATACAGGAAAGGAAAAAGGAAACAATAAACCAAAATTTCTTGAATACAGTTAACGGAAAGTGGCAAAAGAATTGGTTCATGTTCAAACCTGTCCCATCACATCCCAACTCGCTTTCCCCCAGTCATAACCCACAGTAAGAGTTACTCTCAGTCCAGAATTTTAAAGTCTGTCCAATTCACCAAAACCACTGGAAAAAAAGTGCAAAAAACACTTCATGGTCCCACCTGCAGTGCCTGAAATCAACTTCTCCTCAGTCACCTTCTCACTTAGCTCCTTCTTTCAACTGGAGAGGTATTTTTGAGGCTTGATCTGTGCAAATTTTTTTTTTTTCTTTTTGCAAACTTTCTTTACCCGTGAAGACCACATGGAAAACTGGCCATTAGTGATGTATTTTTCTCCCTGGGCTCCTGAGCCCAGTGGTGTCAAGTTGCTCCATCTGATTCTTAAATTAATTTTCATCAGTTGTGAAACTCTTCAAGTGGCCACAAGAATGAGCCTGTCTCCTCGTGTACAAGGCGTGTGTATAGGAAGAAGGTTTAAATGCACAGAGACATACACTCCGCAGGTGCGCACAATGCGTCTGTTCTCCCCGTCACTTCAGGAACCATCCGATTAATCACAGCTTGGAGGCCCTGGAGTCTTACAAATCTGTAAAACAAAATAAAATATAAAGAAAAAAGACTTTAAAATTCTGAAGAATAAAGGTTCTGAATAATCGCTGCAATTGAAATTGGAGACCAATCTTTACACTACATTTATCAAATGGAGCTATTGACTGGTAAAATTCCAACAGTAAAAAGTGTACACCTCGCCAGCTTACAGACAACATACAAGTTCGAATGCCATGTACCGTCTACCAAACCTGCGAGTGGCCGGGCGCACCTGAGGGAAATCCTCGCCTCCACTCTCCTCCACCACGCTGTCCTTTCTAAGGCTCTGGGCCCTGAACGTGCAACTTTACCCCTGTGGAGGCCGTCATCCTGGTTACGCAGGCATCCTCAAAAAGGAGACCAAGGAGGCTCAGAAAAGTTATCTAAATTGATTTTTTTCACTATCAGTAAAAGATATTCCCTGAAGACACAAGGCAGCAAGGGCCTTTAAAACCCCTCCATCCCTGATTGCTGGCAGTTTGCAGAGCAAAGCACAGCTATTTTCTCAGCCTTTAAGTTGTCTACCAGCAATAAAGTCCTAGAGAATCTTATCCAGCAATCCATCCTCTCGTCCTTCCTACTGCCTTCAGTCCAGGCCCGCATCACATTCACAAAAGCACTGGACAAATCGGTCCCTAACTTCCCAACACCATCCCACCTTCCAGAGGGCCCTCAGACTGATCTTTCTAAAGTTCAAGGCTGCTTGAAGAGCCTGGACTGTTCTCCCCGCCCAGGCAGCCCCCTGGAGGGCTAGTGAAACAAACAGCCTAGCCCCACCCAAAACATCTGACACTGAAAGTCTAGGGCTGGGCCTAGGTATGTACATGTCTAACAAGTTCCAAAGAGATGCTAATGCTGTGGGTCTGGCGACCAGGCTTTGAGAACCACTGGTCTATGGGATTAAGTTCCAGGAGGACCCTTTGCGATCTGATTTCAACTTCGCCTCCTCTCCTGCGATAGCCTCCATGTCCAGCCTGTGTTACCAGCGTTGCATCTAGCCACTCCCTGTCCCCGAAGTACTGTGTTCTTCCTCTCCTTCATGTCTCCACGCCTCCCACTCCCTTCCCAAGTCAGGCCTCAACACTTCTTTTAAAATCCACCTAAAACAGCATCTCTCCCATGAAGCCTCCCAGGGCACCTCGTACTAACTTCTGCAATAGCGTTCATCACACTGCATCCTAAGGCTCTTCTCTACGCTCCTAGAGGCCGGAAACCCATCTTTCTCACCCCTGGCGTGGAGGTTAGCATAAACTAGGTACTCAACAGAAGTCTGGAGGAGGAGGCAGGCAGGAGCAAGGCAGCAGCCACACGTAATTTCCTTGGGATACCTAATTCAGATGACACACGGTATATATATTTTGTATGTGCCCATAAATCATAACAACTAAATTCTCTCAGGAAGCACTTGTACCTGAGGGAAAAAAGTGAAAACAAATGCTATCAAATTCAAATTAACGCCATGTTCTTCCTCCTAAAATGCTAATACCACTACCTTCTTCCCTATCCTGGCCTGGGGGCAGCGTCACAGATGGGAAAAGCAGAAGCAACCTCTCAAGAATCAGCTATATATACACAGGTTTTCAACTATGTAAGAGCATGATCCATGATTATTCAACCATCCACACAAAATACAACAATGTAAACGATCAGTTCCCCAAAACTCTCCCAGGGTACCATAAGGTCAGCATTATTTTCATAATAATACTAAGTCATTTGCCTTCTTCACTGTGTTGACAATCGTATCAACGGTGCAAAAGCAACAGTGGATCAATTTGCCTGCTGGATAACCCCAATCAAGGCTCTGGTACCAAAATGCACCAGTCCTCATCAGGTTTTTAAAAAGCGCCAGCTTCACTTAAGAATGTTCCTTGGATAAAGATGTGGTATACACATGCACACACGTGCGCATGCACAATGGAATACTACTCAGCCGTAAAAAAGATGAAATCGTGCCATTTGTGAAAACATGGATAGACCTTGAAGGTACTATGCTAAGTGAAATAAATAAGTCAGACAGAGAAAGACAAACGCCGTACCATTTCACTCATATGTGGAAGATAAACAAACAAACACACATAGATAAGGAGAACAGATTGGTGGTTACCAGAGGGGAAGAGGGTGGGCAAAAAGGGTAAAGATGCACATGTGTACAGTGACAGATGGCAACTAGACTTCTGGCGGTGAACACAATGCAGGCTATACAGAAACCAAAGTACAATGATGTACACCTGAAATTTATATAATGTTATAAACCATGTGACCTCAATAAAATAATTTTAAAAAAATAATGTTCTTAATGCAGCAGTAAAAACTATTAATTTTATTAAATATCAACCATTGAATACACGGCTGTTTCATATTCCGTATTTCAGAAGAGCAAGCACACATAACGCATTTCTGCTGACTACTGAGGTACAGTGGTAACCCTGAGAAAAAGCACTTGTGCTATAGTTTAAGTTGCAAGCTGCACAAGTTGCTTTTTTCATGGAATACCCTGTTTACTGGAAAGAATGAAGGACAAATTATGGTAATTCGGGCCTGGATCTTTGGCCGACATTTTCTCAAGTTAAAATCAGAATTTTGGGAAAACCAGCATCTATCACATGAGCTTGATAGCTCCCCAAGATTTAAAGACATTCCTCATGTGACTGGAGGTAATATTCATAAATGTGAATTTTTTTATACTGTATTTCATACTTCACCACGTGTCAATATTTGGAAGATTCACATAACTTGGTGAACCAATATTTTCCAAATGACCAATGCATGATGACACAAATTATGCTTCAGTAAAACAGCCATTCGAGGTGCAAGAAAGACAAATAGATTTTACTATAACCAAGTATGAAAAATTCACTGATATATTTAAAGCTCTATATTGCTACTAACTTTTAAGAAACTACCACTTGTTGAGTTTTGATACAGTATCAAGGAAAAATATCCATGATTATCTGAAAAGACTATTGAAATACTCCTCCCTTTTCCAACTACATATCTGTGTGTGGTCAGATCTTCATACATTTCAACAAAAACGGCACATTGCAACAGACAGAATGCAGAAGCAGATGTGAGAATCCAGCTATCTTTCACTGAGTCGGACAATAAAGATATTTTGCCAAAATGTAAAATAATGCCACTCTTCTCAGTGAATTTTTTAGTTAGAAAATAGTTATTTTTCATAAAAATTACATTGTTTCTAACATTAGTAGGTTTATTATTTTTAAATGAATTAGTAATTTTTTTTTAATTTCTCAGTTTTAATTTCTAATATGGTAAATATGAATAGCTAACACCCACATAAACAAAAGCTCTTTTGGGTCTTCAATAATTTTTAAGAATATAAAGGGGCCCTGAGACCAAAAAGTTTGAAAACCACTGGTTTATGCTAACTCTCCAAAATGTAAGCCTTAAATAACTATTATACTAAAGTGTGTAGGATAAATTTCCATAGTAAAAGCACAGATAAAAGTTTTACATATGTTGCTATGGTTTTTAACCAAACTTTAAAAATTATAAAACACCATATATGCTAAACAAATAAGGCAGATATTGATGACATGCTACTTTATTATTACTCAAATGGATAATGGATACGAAAATCTAACAACAAGAAACCACTATCCTAGCACCCTAATTACTGAGAGTCTGGCACCTCTTTTAGTGCTGCCATAAACAGAAACGGGTGACGTTACACACTTCCCTTCCTTCTGTCTTATTTTCTCCTGAGGATGAGA